ATTTCTCTGAGGATGGAATCTTGCATCCATCCACAACTGCTTCCAATTCCTAGTTCTCTTATACGTAAAGCTGCCCCAGCTACCTCGCCTTTCGCCGCGATGTCGATAGGTAAGATATTGAAGATAACATTCAGGGCAAGTGACGGCGTTGATTTTAACGCTCCGCTTAATGTCATCAGTGCAGTCCTTTGAACCTTTTCCAATTTCTTGCATAGTGTTGACCTATTCAGAGTATTTCTCCAAAATAACACTCCATACAAGAGAATTGGTTTTACCACCACATTATATATCCATAAAATGGACTTCGGTGAGAGTCCCCATCTTTTGCCTATAGCGCCTCTACAACAGTAAAAGGCAACCATAGCTTTTTGGGTACGTGCAACAACATTTGGTCCCCAATTCAGTTTTCTGTCAATTATAAGACCTAAATATTTGGCTTTATCATTCAGAGTCAGAGTTTGACCTCCTAGGATAGGTAGTGTGAATTCCGGAATTTTATATTTCCTAGAAAAGAGCACTAGTTCTGTTTTGGTTGGATTTATTGATAATCCGCTACAATGGGCCCATTGGGATACTTTATTTAGATTACCCTGCATTACCTCACTAATTGTACTCAGAAATTTTCCCCTTGCAATCAAGGAAAGATCATCCGCGTACGCGACCACCTGACAACCTACGCTATCTAGATCAACAAGAAGATCATTAACTGCAGTTAGCCATAAGAGGGGGGAAAGTACTCCTCCTTGTGGAGTCCCCCTATTAACTTTCTTAGTTACTAGCGTTCCCCCCCATTGCGCTACGATTGTCCTATCAACCAGCAGTTGGGTAATGACTTCGATTACTCTATTGTCAATTCCTAGTTTTCTTAATGAGTTGACGATTACTTGAGGAAGGATGTTGTTGAAAGCCCCTTCCACATCAAGAAAGGCACAAAGGGCGTATTCTTTATGCTGTATTGAGTTTTCAATCATCCCAGTTAGAGATGATAATGCGGTCTCTACAGACCTTCCTTTACAGTACGCATGTTGTGATTTTGAAAGCCTTTCATCTGGTATCTCTTTCCTAATGAAATGCTCCAGAAGCCTTTCTAAAGTTTTTAAGAGGAAAGAGGATAGACTAATCGGTCTAAAATCTTTAGGCGTAATATGGGAGCTTTTGCCAGCTTTAGGAATAAAAACGACCTTTGTCAATTTCCATTTCTCTGGTATATGCCCCAAGGTAAGACAACCTTTAAAGATTGGTGTGAGCCAATTGCAAGAGATGTCCCTTGCTTCATGAAGTTGGGCTGGTATAATTCCATCCAGGCCCGGTGATTTGTATGGTAGAAAGCTATCTATAGCCCACTTAATTTTCCTTCTGGTGACAATATTATTCACCACAGATGAGTCACATGTAGACCCCTGGTTTATTCCAAGGTTATTTGGTATGTCACTATCTGGGAAATGTATATTCAGTAACAATGCCGCCGATTCTTCGCTGCTATGTGTCCACCCATTGACCTCGTCTTTTAAGTAGACTAGATTAGAGGGTTTCTTCGAGAGAATGCGCCTAAACCTTGCTGTTCCTTGACAACCCTCCACGCTTTCACAGAAGGCTTTCCAGGAGCGTGTTTTGGCTCTTTTTATTTCATTTTTATATATTTTTAGACTGACTTTGTAGATGTCCCAGTCAGTGTTAAGATTACTTCTCTTGGCCTTGTTAAACAAGTTTCTGCTTGATTTCCTAAGATCTCTTATTTCCTCGGACCACCACAATGGCTTTTTCTTTCCCCTCTGTGATTTTAGTGGGCAAGAACGGTCCAAGGCTATGTTGCAAGCTTTTGTGAAGGTTTCCACAACGTTATCTAGCGATTGAGGAGTCTCTACTTCTTCAATAGGATATAGAGGAAGTAGATTTAGTAAATTGGTTCGATATCTACTCCAGTTGGTATTACGGTAATTCCGATAAGGTTTCTCAACTGGACATTGTAGATTTATATAGAATTGAATATAACGATGGTCAGAGAATGAGTGTTCATCAAGAACTCTCCAATCTTTAATCTCAAGATCTGTGTTTTCAATAGTTAACGTAATATCTAAAACTTCTTTTCTACCTGCAATAATAAAAGTAGGTTCCACTCCTGTATTGCATATATGAAGATTATAATCTAGAATAAAATCGAATAACGACTCACCTCTTTCATTTATGTCCGAGCTACCCCAGATTGTGTGATGAGCATTTGCATCGGCTCCAATCACAACACCAGTCATTCTTTCTGCTGCTGTTATCACGAGCTGCTTAAGTATTTCCGGTGGTGGATTTCCTATATGGTCATGGGCCATGTATGATGACACCACCCATACGGTTTTGCCGTCGATTTCCAAACTCACTGCAGTCTGGTCGTCATCACTAAAATTATTCAAAAGGAAACAATTAATGTACTTTTTCACTAACACACATGATCTAGGTCTACCTGAGTCTGTGTTGCTGATAAGTTTATAGTCATTTGTTCCGATTCCACAGATCCGGTTTTCCAGTATCCATGGTTCCTGAATCAGAACAATATCGGCTCCACCCTGTGCAAGGTGGATTAGAAGGTTTGCTGAAGCAGCTTTAGAGTGGTGGAGATTAATTTGAAGCACCTTCATCAGGTACCTGAACCTCTACCACCGTTTTATCGGCTTCGTCATCCGAATCCAGGAGCCCACTCTCATCGAATAGGTTGCCCAGACTGGTCACCGACCCCGCATCCGATTTGTCTTCAGACACCAGAGAGAGCGAGTCCACCTCCATTTGATCTGGCAGGTCTTCACTCTGTGTTTCCTCACAACTCTGCTGTCTTAGCATTGGTTCTTTAGCTGGTTCCTCCAGCAAGGGCTGAGCAGACGTAATCTTCTCCGGTTCTTCCGTGGCATCGGTACGATAGACCTTGAGATTTAGTTTCTCAAAGCCATAGGAGATTACGTACTTAGCTTCGGTGAGCGGTTTCAATGACTCCGCATTTAATACAAGGACAGCTTGTCTGGTCGGTCCAACAGGCTCCTCTAATTTTACCACCTTCCAATTTCCAGTTGGAAGGTTGGGGTTACAGATCCTGATTATTTTCAGAATTTGCTCCGGGTCAGTTTGTTTAGTTGGAATCCAAACCCTGGCCCTAGGACGAGATGGTATATCCTTCTTGTCTACCGCTTCAAGTCTGGCTCCAGGCCAGATCTCTCCTACTTTAGAGACAGCTGCCTTGTACAAGGCAACCGATCTCGCATCCTTGCAAGCTACCAATTTCACTTGTCCTTGGTGCCAACCCGCGTCTTCGCAGGAGGGAGCAGGTCCTGGGTTTTCTTCCAAAACTTGGAGGAAGATGTCTGCCAGCGCGGCCGACACCCATTTCCATTTGTCTTTGGGGATTCTCCCCTCCTCGGCACTCCTATCCAGGACACCTATAATGAGATTGTCCTTCGCAACCTCACTGTACGGTCGTACCAGTACATTGTAACCTCTTGGTTTTTTTGTAAGAGGGGGTTCTTCCTCCTGAGACCTTTGTCTTTTAGACACTTGGTCCGGTTTGGAAGCCTCTTTATTGCTTGATTTGGCCAAGATGCTTTTGGCCCATTCAAGGGATGAGGCCTGTTGCTGACTGATTTTATCGGCCGGGATCTCACCTACGCGCTGCAGAATTCGTGTAGCCATACGGCGGTCGTTATGGGCCTTTTTAGAGGGTGGAATTCTCCTTGTGGATTTGGTTTCTGACTTGTCACTGCTTTTGGCCGTGACAGAAGAGGCAACATACCGACTGGTAGATGCAGTATTTCTGCTTCCAGAAGGTATTTGCGACGAGATTTTAAGTTCATTGGAAGTGGAGTTGGAGGTACCACTCGAGGTTTGCAGTCTTCTGCTTGGGGTTGCTACTGGTCTTCCAGTAGCAGAAAGTTTTGTTTGTTTTTTATTAAGATTTAAATTTTCCATATTGATGGGTCCCAACTCAGGTCCGCTATCTCCACCCGACGTGTAGTTATCTTTTAAAAAGCCCCATGGGTCCCTTTGAATCAGTGAGGTCCATGTGAAGGTTGATGTATAGCCTTATGAGCATATACATTCAGAGCCAGGCAGATATTAAGAGGGAGCTTCGCTCAACCTCACCTACACCACCAACTAAACGGCGACGGATATTGAGCGCTTCCTGAGGTCAGCCACGATTTTAACGGGACGGAGGCAGCCTCAGCATTAGCCTGAAAGCCATTTCTGCAGAGTTTCACCTCTACATACTGAGGTAACAGAATACTGAGACTGTCAGCCCAGGGTTCAGACAATTTATAATTCAGACAATTCAAAGTCATACAATCAGTGTCAGTATAGCCAAGGTTGTTGCCGTTGAAGCCATATTGGCCGTAAAGGCCGTTGGACAGAATTTTTGCTCCGCAGTAGCCAATCCGACAAGGGAAGCCCTTAAGGACCTGAAGAATCCGTCGGTATAGCCTAGTGCATCATTACCTCTGTTGTCCCCAGAGACCTCACGCCGATGAATCAGAGCAAACTCCAATTCTTAGCTAGAACAGTCTGCAATCAGAACTCTCTATTACCAGTCGACACCCACGGGGAGGGTTAGGCAGAGGATTTATGTCAACCTAATTACTACTAAATTTAATATAATCATCTTCACATATTTACTAAATTTCATATAATCATATAAAATAAAAGTATTTATAAATAAAAGTATATTAATGCTTTTTATTGCTGTTATATTCTCAGTTTCCTGACATTATATATAACGATTCTCTTCTGGTCCGTTTGTATATATCTTCCTACATATACATTTCTCAGTTATAATTCTTAATATACATATTTGCTTGAAGTTAAGTATATATACGATTATTGTATCTTATATATATAATATTGTTGAATTTAGTTTAATATAATATTTTTGATTTGTGTGAAGTTGAGATTTTAGTATCTTAGTTGCTTTGTCTCTAATAAAATTACTTAAGTGTTCATAAGAATGGATATTAAAATTATTAAAAAAAATATATTTACACGAAATGAAAGCTCGCAGTGTAGGCATTATAATTTCTGCCCACTGAATAGATAAATAAAGGCTGTTGATTGGCTGTTGGTAACCCGGTTGTGATACAGGTATTTAAAAAAGCAATAATATACTTTTATTTATAAATACTGTAAATTATAAGCGTTTTTATAATTGGGTTTTATGATCTTTATTTCAATTTCTTTAACACAATGTAAATTATAAACGTTTTTATAATTGGGTTTTGATTTCATTTAGTTTATACAATTGAACTTATACAATTTCGGTTATTGATTGTTTAATCACTTTTTTATGTGCACCCGTGTGTTGACACGTTCGCGATCGAAAAACAAGAGACAGAATCAAACCAACGGAGTTTACTTGCAGCCCAAAAAATATAACAAAAAAATTGCTCATCTCGAGCGCAAAAACAAAAGGCAATAAAAACAAGACTTAGAACCGTTGGTTTGATTACATCTTATACAGGGTTAGTTAGATAAATTAATTAACCATATATTAACCATATAAAATATTATATATGAATTATATAATATATTAATTATAATAATTTAATTATACAATATATGATTTAAAATAGATTAAAATATAATATATAAATCATATAACACATCAAATAATAATTCTACAGAATCCTACAATATTAACAATTTGACTTTAACCGCTCTAACATCCCGCCCCCCTTGAAAGGATTTTCAATTGGTAATAGTGCGAGTTTGTGGATTGGACGGCGTATTACTCCTTTTGGGGTTTGCACATCAACAACACGAACCAAATTATCTGGACCCCTGATGCAATGCACGATTCGGCCCATCAACCAGCGTTGTGGAGGCATATTGTCTTCATGGATTAAAACCAGAGCCCCCTCGGTGATGTTAGATTGTTCTTCTGTCCATTTGGTGCGTATCTGCAGCTCATTCAGATAGTCTCTAGACCATCTGCGCCAGAAGTGATGTTTGACTGCGGTTATACGAGACCATTTATCAATTAATGAAGTAGCTTCATACTGAGGACTTGGTTCAGATAAAGTTTTGAGCGGCCCACCGATAAGAAAATGTGCTGGCGTTAGCGCTTCATAATCGCTCGGGTCACAAGAATGAGGTGTGATTGGTCGCGAATTTAAGATAGCTTCGATTTCAATCAGTGCTGTTCCAAGCTCCTCAAAGGTGAATCGAGTATTTGATAATGTTCGATACAGATGGCCTTTCGCGCTTTTTACAGCCGCTTCCCATAGACCTCCAAAGTGAGGTGCTCGGGGCGGTATAAAATTGAAATTTATGAATTGGTTGCTGCAAAAGGTCTGCAGCATCACTTGATTAGACTTCTCGAAAAACATTCTTTTTAACTCTGCTAGTTTGTTGTTAGCCCCAACGAAGTTCGTGGCGTTGTCGCAATAGATGTCTGATGGTAACCCTCGTCTACCGATTAACCTTTTCAGTGCTGCAATAAATGCCTCCGTAGATAAGTCTGACACGGCTTCTAGATGAGCTGCCTTTGTAGACAAACAAACGAACACGGCTATATAGGTCTTATATGGAACCCGTCCCCGAATTCGGAGATACGTTAATATCGGACCGCAAAAATTTACCGCAGTACGCGCGAATGGACGGCTTGGAGTGAGGCGTTCGATTGGGAGATTACCCATCATTTGATTAAGTAGTTTGGGTTTATAACGCACGCAGTGAATACACGAGTGCACGACTCGGCGTGCAATTTCTCGAATATTAATTATCCAGAAGTTTAGTCGAGTAAGGGCAATTAGTGCTTTTGCGCCTGCATGATAGTTGCACAAGTGTATATGCCGAACATAAAGTTCCACAAAATAACAGCCCTTCGGCAACAAAATAGGGTGACGTTGGCCTACTGAGATGTCACTCAGCTCGAGGCGACCTCCCACCTTTAGTAATTGATAACCGAATACATTGTCCAGGAAGGGATTTAGATGCTTTAATGTACCTTCGGCTGGGTTCCCTCGTTGTAGGCGTTGTATATCAATTTCGAAGAATTGCTGTTGGATGACCCAAATAATACAGTGCAATGCCTTTTGTAGCTGAATAGGTTGGAGGGTACATTCTCCGTTCTTCAATTTATTCTTGGTTACATGATAAAAACGCTGTACCTGCGCTATTACTCGTAGCATCTTAGTGTATGAACTATATCTTGACAATACCTGTAATACGTAGTTGTCTTCATTTGTGTTAACGAATACAACCTTTCGCGTCTCTTTATTGACTTCTTCCATATCCAGGTTGTGACATTTCAAATGCGGCCAGTATTTATCAGCGAGTAACAAAAATTCCGGCCCCGTAAACCAACAAGACTCTGATAATTGGCGGATGTTACAGCCGCGCGACACAACATCTGCCGGGTTGGATTGGGTAGGAACGTGTCTCCATTGCCCATTTGCGGTAATATCTTGAATTTCCGCTACTCGATTGCCAACGAATGCAGACAGGGTTGATGAGTGCTGCTTCAACCAATGTAATACAATCTGTGAATCAGTCCAAAAAAACGTTTCACCCTTAAATTGCGCAAATATTGGTTGGACCTTCTGATACAGTTTGGCAAGAAGTAAGGCACCACAGAGTTCTAGTTTAGGTAGCGACTTCCGCTTTATAGGTGCCACACGGGATTTTGCAGTGAATAGCCTGACCGTCACCTTACCTGATGTGTTTTGTGATCGGAGAAATATACAGCAACCATATGCGCGTATTGAAGCGTCACAGAAACCGTGTGCATCAACCTGTTGATAGTTTATGGATAGGCAGTACCTCGGCACCTTAACCGATGAAAGCGTTGTAAGATCTTGAATAAATGTTTTCCAAGCTGAGTGAAGATTTTGAGGGACTGACTCGTCCCAGTCCACACGCAAAAGCCACAATTCTTGCATCATAATTTTGGCTACGAGTATGATCGGTGCTAGTAATCCAAGCGGGTCGAATAATGAAGACGCAAGGGATAAGATGGTGCGTTTTGTTACAATATGACCTGGTTGTGCATTAAACGAAAATAGGAAAACATCTTGCATTTGGTGCCACTTGATGCCTAGAGCGCTGGTGACTGTATCTGTATCAAGATTCAAACTCTTTGTTGTAGTATCGCTGATGAAGTCATGATGGTTTGAATGCCATTTGTCAAGATCGAAGCAACCCTTCTGTAGAATGGCCGTTAACTGATGTCTGATATTGGTGAGTTGATCAATGGAATCTGCTCCACCTAAGAAGTCGTCGACAAAGAACGCTGATTTAATGAGTGCAGCGCCTATTGGGTATTGTGTTTCAAATTTGTCCGCCAAATACTGCAAACTCCTGGTTGCTAGGAAAGGTGCTGATGCAGTACCATAAGTGACTGTATTCAACTCGTAAGTACTAACAGGATCGGACTCCGTATCTCGCCAAAAAATATATTGGAATTTTCGATCTGGTTCATCTATCAGTATCTGTCGGTACATCTTAACAATGTCAGCCGTCAAGGCATATCGGTGCAAACGAAATTGAAGTAGCAACAAATATAACTCCGACTGAATTGTCGGGCCGACCAGTAGAATATCATTTAATGAACGTTGCGAAGTTGTTGGACATGACGCATCAAAAACCACCCTCAGCTTGGTCGAAGTGCTCGACGGTTTTAAAACACAATGATGAGGGATATAATAATGAGGTTCGTTAGTTTTCGGAGTCTCAACACGCGTCATGTGTCCGAGCTCTCGATATTGTTTCATGAATTCTTGATAGTCTTGCTTCAGTGCACGATTAGATGACAATCGCCGTTCTACAGAATAAAAACGGCGCAAGGCGATATTGTGTGTCAAACCAAGACAATCTGGTGAATCTTTGAATGGTAACCGAACGACAATTCTTCCCATCGCATTTTGGTGAACCGTTTCACGATATAATGACTCACACGCAACATGTGCTGGTGACCATGATTTTGAAGCCGATTGCACTTCCTCTATCTTCCACATCATTTCTAATTGATCGGAGACTGTATCTTCAACTGATAATAGGCATTTTGCTGCTGGTGATGCAAATGGCTGACCCTTGTACTTGCCAGATACAATCCATCCTAATAGTGTTTTTTGAAGTACTGGAAGATTTTCACCTAGTTTGATTTGACCGACAGACAAAATATCAAAGAAACTTTCAGCTCCAAGCAAAAGATCAACGCGCTTGGATTTAAAGAATTGCTCATCGGCGAGAGGTGTATTTGGTGGAACCTTCCACGACGATATATCGATTTCAGAACTTGGTTGATATGCGATGTGATTCGTAATACCAAAGTTTAAAGCAAGTTCAAAATTTGAATGACGAGATTTGATTGATGTGAGCGTCTGATACTTAATGTTGGTCAACGAACTACCAATACTGGAAACATGCAACCGATGTTTATGTTTTGCTAAACTAAGCTTCTTTGAAAACTCCTCCGTTATGAAGTTGACCTGAGAGCATGAATCAAGTAAGGCTCTACCCACTTGATAACTTCCCGATGAATCCTTCACTAAAACCAATGCAGTGGCAAGAATTATTTGCTCGGCCGATGACATATTAAGATGGGAATGGCTGGCAACGTTGTCGTT